GCATATGTGTTGCTACCATTGAAATTAATAGGAATTTCACAAGTATAGCTCTTTTCTATTAGTGGAACTGTCTATTAGGGATGTATTCTACACTTTGTGCATATATGGAAATAAAGTTAGCATTTAAGGAGGTTATTTATGCAAATCGCAAGGATACATATGCCCGTAGTTTTTCCATGAATCTGTTTTACAGACACCTGCAGTTAGATTTAATGTAAAATATTTTTTTGCTACTTTGATTGCAATTCTGAGCTAGCTTATGATTCTAGGTGATGGCAGCAGAAGTGAAAATTTAGTTCTTTGAAGGCCTCTATGCATTCCCACTCAAGGGACTCAGCACCTCTAGCACTGAGCTGTGGAATTGTATAGACAAGCCACATCCGCTGGGGGGTACAATAGCGCTTTTTCATAGGATGATATAATTGGCTCAGTCTATATACAGGAGCATGCTCCCTGGCCCACCTCAATTCCTTCTCTGTTGAGAGCTAATGGAACTATCTTTCCTGTCTCTGAGGGTAGTTAGCCTGTTTTCTACAAATAGTTTGTTAGTTAGCTAGCTAGAACTCTTGGCCTTTGGTTACCTCTGAGATCATGTTGGGTCCTAAAACCTCTATAGGATTTAAAAGATGTGCAACATGCTCAGCTATCTACCCTGAGACAGACTCATGGGTTTGGTGCCTGGTGTGCTTGGGAGAATTGCACACCATATCCCATTGCACTATTTGCCTAATTTTTACTCCTCAGACATAAAAGAACAGGCAGCTCAGACCAGGCTACATGCACATTTGGGTTTGGTAAGCCTCCAGACCATCCTGATATTCCTGTGAAAATTTTGAGGTCTACTTCTGTGGAGAGGTCTTCTGTAAAGAAGCCTAAGATGCACATAGACCAGTGATACTCAGACCTCAGTGGTTCAGGAACCAAATTGGCGATCAACATTCCAAAGAAGAGCCACAGTAGTGTGAATGCATTGTTTCATTTGCTATAGTACTATATATTCATATTTAAACAGTGTGACACAGGAAATATTTAGTTTATATAAAATTCTCACAGCAAAAGGGATGGATCACTTGGTGATTTCCTGTTCTGTTAATTTCCTCTGAAGTACCTGGCACTGGCCATTGTCAGAAGACAGGATACTGGGCTAGATGGACCATTGGTCTGACCCAGTATGGCCATTCTTGTGTTCTTATATTCAAAATGACTCAGCAAGCATTATTATATCAACTACAATTAGTTATTAACATAGTAAAAGCATCCTGATTGGTTAATAACTTACATTGGTTAATAGTAAAACACTGTGAGATTTAATTATCATGTGCTGCAAAGAGCTGCAGCAGACACATTAAAGAGCCACATCCAGCTCCTGAGCCTCAATCTGAGTATCACTGACCTTGACACTCCTGCCTCAGCACCTCCCTTGATGTTGGGCCTGAGGTTAGGGTTGCCAATCCTCCAGGATTGTCCTGGAGTCTCCAGGAGTTAAAGATTAATCTTTAATTAAAGATTGTCATGTGATGAAACCTCTAGGAATATGTCCAATCAAAATTGGCAACCCTAAGATCCACCTACTCAAAAGCTAACACCTACAGCAGCTGAGCTTCCCACTCAACACTGTCCAGTACTGCAAACTCTATCTAGACAGTCCACACCAGTGCCATGATATGTATCAGCAATACTGTCAGGAGGAACAATTCCTTTGAAGCCATTAGAATTGACACTGGTTGATACCATAACCAAAAGGCATGCTTCCACATCTCTGACTCTGCTACAGGGAAAAAGGAGAAGAGGTAGCATTCCAAATCGCAAAGGGAGTCTGAGGAGAAGAAGAAGAGAGGAGGCATTCTTCTCTTTCTATCACTGGTTTCTTCGAGGACTCCTTACAGATGCCAATGCCAGCTTTGGCCCACACTCCTCCATCTGAGACACCAGTTTTTTAGACACATCACTGGTGTGTATCCCTCCAGTGCCATAAATTTCTCTTTTTTCGTGAAAACTCCATCAGAGCTATTAGCTTTGCCTCCACTTCTTGATCACACAATAGCATTTTCCACTTACTTCAATTCAAAACATTCTGGAGAAACATGGGTTTCTCTCAAAACCAGCCATTCAAGTTCTCCTGGTCAACTCAAAGGAGCCCAATCGCCTTCCTTCAAAAAAGACTCTGTCAGGACAGAAAGATATTAGGAAGGATCCTCATCAATTACTCACATTGCCCTTCATTTAGGAGTCCATTTTAGATGCTGCCAAACCCCGTTCAGCACTGACTTGGGCATCAGCATTAACACAGTTGCCAATGATCCTTGCACTGGGTGCCGAGTGTTTTCCTACATTAAAGAGTCTGGGGCCCTTAAAGGGAAAATCTTCTATTACTTTCTGAGAGGCTGGAGCAAAGCCTATTGTTTGGAGTCATAAGTATCTCCTCAGAGCTGTGCCAGTGGCTGCAGAGCTTGTAGTTGTATCTGAGGGGCCGTAAACTTCCCTCAGAGTACACTTAACTAATGTCCTCCCCTCAGCAAGTTCTTTGCAGCTGCTCTGTGCTCTTCAGCTAAAATACTAGGGAACAGATTAAGAATCATAGCCTGGTCTCTGGGACTTTCCCAGTTTGCATCTACTGCTAAAAGAAAGTCAGATTATACAAATTTTCAATTTCTTAAACAGCCTCCCTCCCCAATTCAATACCAACAGAGTACCTCAGTGGTGATACTAGTCTTCAGCTTCTTTTAAAATGGCTTCTGTAGAAAGAACACAATCCAGAAATCCTACATTGCATGTTGTCACAAGGTCCCAAACATCACTTGGATGGATGCTCAAGAGCCATACCCCTCTCCCTCAACAGGTCAGACCTCATCCTTCTTCAATGCCTGGTGCCAGATTATTTGGATTGTTGGGTATTGGAGACCATAAATGATGGCTACATAATCCAGTTTCATACAGGCCTCCTTCATTCTCCTCTCACCTCCAAACCTCCTTTGGGGACCCCTCTTGTGGAAAAAACTCCTATTGGAGGACATAAGCTCCCTTCTTCAAAAGGGTGCTGTAGAGGAGCAATACCAAGGGAAAGGGTTTTACTCCAGATGTTTCCTAAGGCCATCCTGGACCTCAGAAACCTCAACAGGTACATAAAGACTTTCAAGTTCAGGATGCTAATACTGGGGGACACCATCCCATTCCTGTTCTCAGAAAAATCACCTTTATTAGTTGGTCCTGGACTCCACTCAGGTGAGGGTCTACCTCCTGGAAGATATATTTCTGAAAATAAGAGACTTTCTGCAAACTTGCAGGGATCAACCTGTGTAAACACACTTTTCCCTAAAGCGTATAGGTCTCATGACCTCATCAACTTACATGATAACCTTTCCTTGCCTAAGAATGAGGCCCCTCTAACTTTAGGTTGTATGTCATTACAGACTCATTGTACACAGCCTGAAAAGGATTGCTTCAACAGCTACCCTTGTGTAAATTTAGAGACAATGTACTCCAGGGACTGTTGTTCAGTCTTCTATACCCTATTGTTACAATCACCACAGATGCCTCCATCCTCAGCTGGGGTGCTGATTGCCAGGACCTCTGTGTAAATGGACAGTGGAACATTTTGGAGTCCAAACTCCACATCAGTGTCCTGGAACTCAGAGTGGTGAGATAAATCCTAACAGCCTTCCACACAACATCAAATAGTACAGGTACTTACAGACAATACCATGGGCATGTATTAAATCAATAAGCCGGGAGGAGCATACTCCTGTGTATGGTGGCAAGGATACTGTGGCTATGGTTTATCCACCATCATATTTACCGTAAAGCAGTACACCAATCAAGGGAAGAGAATGTATAGGCAGAAACACTCAGCAGGAGGGTGTATGATCCGCACTAATGGTTCCTGAACCAATGACATCCTCACTTTTATTCAGGTAGGGATAACTAAATATCTGATCTCTCAGTCCTTGTCCTCAAAGGAAACCCACACAACACCTTCAAAAGATGAGCCTGGGAGCTTAAGTTCATAATTCCGCTGGACATTAAAAACCATGGACTTAATAGAGGCACTGGTTCATTACAACAATTTGTAATATAACCTACTGCCTGCTAACCCTTAATTGCCCACTTCATTTTAAGTGGTCCCTTACATGGTTTGTGAAACCCTTATGCTTTACAATGTGCCCCACCTCATATTTAGCTCAGACACTCTGGTTACTTTCCCCAGACCTGAGAAAGATCTCTGAAGCTCAAAAGTTTATCCTTTCCCCCAATGACTAAAGAGTTAATCCCATCACAAGAGGGTATACCTGCAATTTTAGAATATCTGTTGTACTTGAAATCACAAGCGTTAGCAGTAACTTCCCTCAAGGTTCATTTGGCTGCTAAATTGGCTTATCATAACTTGGTCAGGGATAATCCTATATTATCTCAACCCACAGTTTCATGTTTTCTAAAGGGACTAACGCCTTTCCCCGTGAGAGAACTTCTTCCTACCTAGGACTTGAATCTAGTACTTACTATGCTTATGTGTCCTCCCTATGAACCACTGACCTCGGCACCCTTAGAACATCTGTCTATCACAACAGAACTCTTAATCTCCTCTGCAAAGAGGTTTAGTGAGCTCAGTGCCTGGATGGCCATTCCATCCTATGCGGTAGTAGCTAGTAGAGAGAAAGTTGTCATGGGACCTCACCCTAGTTTTATGTCTAAAGTTATCTCATATTGTCACCTGTCACAATCTCTGTCCCTCCCCATTTTCTTCCTCAGGTCTCATGCTCAACCAGGGGAGTCTCGTGATAGAGCTTTGCAAAGTAGCAACATGGAGTTCAGTCCATGCTTTCATTAAGCACTAGTCATTGGACATGGCATTGTATACTGGTGCTTAATTTAACAGAGCAGTGCTGTAGTCCATTTGTGCCTAGAACTCCTTGCCCACCATACTCTGATGGGGGCACTGTTTGCTAATCTCCCATTAGTGGGAATGCACAGAGGCCCTAAAAGAAGAAATATAGGTTACTTACTGGTAAGTGGTGGTCTTCAAGAGTTGTTTCTGTGCATTCACACTACCCAACCACCTTCTCCTCTGCCTAGGCGTTCTTTGTGTTTCTGCACTCCTCGGGCTAGGGAGAAGGAACTGAAGTAGGCTGAGGTGTGCACTGCCTTCTATATACAGTGTCGATGATGTCATCTTACAATGAGAGCACTACTGCATCTCCCAGTGGATGTGGCTTTTGTATATAGTTCCATAGCTCAGTGCCAGAGATGTTAAATGCCATTAGTGTGAATGCCCAAAGGCAGCTCTAGAAGAACAACAATTACTAGTAAGTAACTTTGATTTTTCCCCCCAAATATATACAATTAATGTGTGATCTGCAGTTCGTGAACACTTGACAGTGTATACAGACAGTATATCAGTTATGGTAGTTTCATCTAACTGACATCTGTATCATGAAAGGTGGTGTCATCAATTATTTTTTCAAGCTTATTTCAGAAATAAATATTTTGTTTAAAAATATTGGGCTATTTCTTGGGGGGGGGAAAGCTGTCATTTTATACTGGCTTTGCACCCCCTTTGCACAGGTGTAAACATTTACATAACATGCAGGCCAGAGGAGAATCAGACCCATTCACTTTATAGTATTATATGTGGCAGTTGCTCCCAAAATGTGGAATTTTGGTAGTAAGCAGTATAACAGGAGGAATTTTGCAAAAACAATAAATATTTTTCAAATAGAAGTCATTTTGAAATTAAAAAAAAGGGAAAGCAAACTAATTTCTCTATTATTAAAACCAAGAAGGAACTGAGACAAAAGGTATTTATGAAATGTCATCAGACTGAAAGCAAAGAGAAAATTCAGCTGCAACTACTAAAAAAATCTCAAATAGGCAAGACAGAATCTTTCTTTTTTCGTATCAGAATGTGTGTCTTTTAAAAGAAGCCTACAGGGTTTTTTCCCCCCTCCCTACAAACATTTATCTCATTGTACTAGTTCTCAGAATAGCTGGAATTGTTAATTGAAATGAATAAAATGATAGCTAAGCAAATGGGTGCAAACTCACAAACAGGCTAATTGTTGCACTAGAATGTGTCTGTTGTCAACCTTCACAGGTTGTCTTGCAGTTCCATTGGCCCCAGTGGTACTTACTGAGGATTTCTTTTTATTATTTATTTATTTGGACCAGACTAGTAACACAGGCAGCATGAGAGAATAATGAGCTGCATTCTTGGGGTTATGAGGACTCAGTATAAATTGTGGGAACAAATAACAATCAGACAAGGCAGGGTTTTATAACATCGAGGCCACAATCCATCTCTGGGATCTTTCGGAGCTGAGCTAATAAAGGCCCACTTACAATCCCCAACAAAGTATAGTTTAATTAAATTTGCCCATTAGAGGACTTCTCCCCCTCCCTTTTACATTCTAAAAATTAATTCTTCTGTTTCTGCCTGTCTTTCTTTCTACATCACAGATGCACTGAACCTTCGTAACCGACAGGTCATCTGCATCACGCTCAAAGTCCTCCAGCACCTGGTGGTGTCAGCTGACATGGTGGGGGAAGCCTTGGTGCCCTATTATCGTCAAATCCTCCCCATCCTAAACATCTTTAAGAATATGAATGGTGAGTTATCCTACTAGTCACTGTGTCTTTGAACCCTAAGGCAAAATGGGGCTTGAGGCAGGGTTAATTAACAATGTCATTAGGATTTATTACTGCATATAAACCCAGATCCATTTGGAGCTCTAAATAATGTAACCCCCACTGCTATTCCCTAGGGATGCAGTAAAATTAACAATTTCATTTATTACTCCTTGCACGTACAGCTTATTTAACACAGTACAAAAGCACTGAAGCAGTTCTGTAATCTTCCAATAATTAAATTGTAAAGTTTTGTAATAGTCTTTTGACTACATTAAGAGATTGCAAAGGTTTTTTCTTTTCTTTTCAGCATGGTAATTTTAAGTTCACAATTTTAATTCTGTCCTGGGTTCTCCTCACCAGTAAAGTTCATTCTTACCCATTGTTGCTTTTTGGTTTAGGAGAGAATAAAAAGAAAATTATTAACCAGTTTAGTCAATTTGACAGACAAGAAAAATTATCTCTAGCAAAGCAGTGAAGTTTGGAGTTATTTTTGCACAGTTAACAGGCTTTACTATGGAAGAAATTTAGAACCACTTCATGTGCCACACTCTTGAGTAAGTTGTTTTCTTTGTAGTTCAAAATTCCATGGCCAGTTTTGTTGTTGTTTTTTAAACAACTACAACAAGTACTGCATGGAGTATTATTACACCATTCTCACAAACCTGAACCAAACTATCTCCAAAGTGTCTTGTTCCTGTAGTAAATCTCTTGGCATATTATGTGTTCAATCACTTACTAAGTTATTGACTTCGAAGTTTTATGCTATTCACATGCAATACTGTAGGTTAAAATAAGTTAATTGCTAACAACCATGCTAATAAAGGTTATAATGTAGGCAGGGTGTCTATGAAACTCATGTTATTTCAGTGTTTAGCCACTGCGCTACCTCCTGGGTTTTGGTTTTGTTCTTTATTAACTTTTTATTAAGACAAAGTTACAATAAAATGTTAACATACTATATCGTACATTATTTATTTGGGATCAACATAATATTCAAAGTACCTGGCTAAAGATTCCAGTTTGCTGGCTGGGAAACCCTGGTTCTCTGTGTATGCTAAAAAAGGATGACCAGATTTCTAAATACTGGTCTTCTTTTTGGCGCTTCTCTTGTGTATTGGATGTGAAAATTTGTCCATTACAAGGACATTCCATATTTTTTATACAACAGGAGGAGGAGTCAAATTTTTCCAATAATGTGCAGTATAGAGTCTAGTTACTAAGAATAAAAAATAAATTAATTTGTTTGGTTTTAAATGTAGATCCTTTACTGGAGCATTAAGTAAGAAGGTCAGGGGATCACTAGAAAGCCAGCATTTAGTCATAAAATGAATCTCTAATAATTTCCTCCCAAAACCAGCTAATTCCCGAACACAACCACCCTATGTAAATATGTTCCCTTTTCCTGCAACCCTTCCAACTGAGCACCTCCCCAGTAGCAAAAATATTATGCACCTTAACTGGAGTCAAATACCGTCGATACCAGTGGTGGGCAGCCTGTGGCTCATCAAGGTAATCTGCTGGCAGTCTGCGAGACAGTTCGTTTTCATTGACAGACCGTCTGCAGGCATGGCCGCCCGCAGCTCCCGGTGGCCTCAGTTCAACATTCCTGGCCAAAGGGAGCTGGGGGAAGTGTCAGCCAGCATGTCTCTGCAGCCTGCACCGCTTCCCCCAACTCCCATGGACCAGGAGCGGCAAACTGCGGCCACTGGGAGCTGTGGGCAGCTGTGCCTGCGGATGGTTGGTCAATGTAAACAAACTGTCTCGCAGCCTGCCAATGGATTACCCTGATAGGCTGCAAGTTACCCACCACTGATCTATTGAATACATTTTCTTATTTATTTATTAACTCTTTTTGAGAAATGCAGAAATATCTGTCCAGAGACTCTAATGGGGTTTAGACTTCTAGGTTCCTTTAAAAACTGTATGTAAAGGACATTGAATTAAACAGCGAACATGTTCTAATAAACTGTAGACCGTGTACCATGTATAAGGCTATGTTTTAGTCATGGGTATTTTTAGTAAAAGTCATGGACAGGTCACAGGCAGTAAACAAAACTTCACAGCCCATGACCTGTACTATATACCCCTGACTAAATCTTGCAGGGCGGGAGCCACCCAGTGGGTGCCATGGGTGCTGAGGCAGGGGAGGCGGTAGCGCGCGGTCCTGGACCCCTGCTCATGCTACAGGGGGGACTGTTGGCAAGGGTCCCTATCTGGCTCCACTCCTCCCCAGAAGCAGCGACATCCCCCATCATCTTCTCCTCAGCAGAGGCACGGTCGGGCAGCTCTGCATGCTGCCTCCGCCCCAAGCACCGGCTCCGCAGCTTCCATTGGCGGAGAACCATGCCCAGTGGGAGCTGTGGAGGCGATACCTTCAGATGGAGGCAGAACGCAGAGCTGCCTGGCCATGCCTCCACCAGGAGCTGAGGGATGTCGCCGCTTCCTGGGAGCCGCCATGAGGTAAGCGCTACACAGATCCCTTACCCCCAGCCCTGAGTCCCCTCCTTCACCTAAACTCCTGCTGGGAGGAGTGAGGGGGTAGCCTGAGACTGCCCCAGCTGTGGCGGATGCGGCTGGCACGGGGGCAGCTCGATCTGCTCAGGCAGCCCCCGGGCCAGCTGCACCAGACACTTCAGAAGTCACGGCAGTCCCAGAAAATCACAGAATCAGTGATCTCCATGACGAACTTGCAGCCTTAACCATGTATATGAGTGGAATGGAAGAGAACTGTCAAAGTTGGGGAGTTGTAGGATGTAGGGCTGTGATTAAAAAAAATAAATATATGGTTAAACCTCTGCATCCGTGTGGAGCCCCATAAACTCCAGTTGGGTTTATCACAAACAGAAGGGTCCAACTTAGTGGGTCCAATTGCAGGATCTGGGGCCAAATACAACCCATCAAAAGGAACTATATCATTTAAATGGTAAGTGATTTATCTGCTGAGCCCCATTTTCCAAATTTTAGCCTGAGGCAGGCTGTGAGCAATCCTGGTTCCCTTGCTGCTATTGTGTCAGATGAATGGTAGGGAAGGCTCATGTCTGCTACTGGCACTACATAGACATAAAGATGCACACAACTGGTTAGATCACACTTGCTATACAAAAACCAACCAACTCAATAAAAATCAAACAGGTTTTCAACCATTTGTCTGACATCTTATTGTGTGGATTTGTATCTGATATCCAATTAAACATAAGACTTCATATTTGTTGTTCAGAAACTAAAAAAATTCCCCCCAAAGCCACCCTGGATTCATCATTCTAAACAGCCAAAAAGAATAGCCCTAAATTCTATTTACTATGTTATGTTGCTGTTGAAGTTGAATAAGGCAAGAGTAACATGATTGTTTGTGACGATGTGAGCATTTTAGTTTTGTGCATTCTAATTTTAATTAAATAATTATGTAACCGTGTTTTTACACTCCATATCAATTGAAAACTGTAACTAAGCATAGTGATTCAGTATCTGGACTTGGTTTTCAAACAGAGATCTATGGAAGAAACCAGTCACAATGAACTGTGACTACACAAAAAAAGCTAAGAGTTTGCCTTTCTTGTAAATCTTGTTGCCCTAAAGGCTGTTTAGGTCAGGACAGAGATGGGGAGCGCAGTGAAAGAGAGTAAAGCAGTTAACATCAACATATTTATCTAAGACTTCGACTTACTTTCTAGGCAGAGGATGAGGGGAAGAGATCTCACCGCTCTGAGATCTTGGGCTTCTTTGCCCTTCCTTCCAGCTTCCTCCTTTCCCTTCCTGTCTCCCTTTTAACCATCCCCAGCTGACTAGCTGAATCCCCTTGTTAACTGGTTAATCACCCAGTCCGTACTCAGTTATCTCCCCAGTTTGGCCAGTGCAGGGCAGCTTACAGAGTACAGAGTGGTGAGTCAGCCTTAGGCTCCTCCCACTTTGTCACAGGCCCATCATTCTTTTCTGTCCCCATCCTCTTTTCCCAGGCATATTCAACAGGAGACAGTTCTAAATGAACACTCAAATGCCACTAGGTCTTCAGGCAGAAAGGGGAGTGCACTCATTAGCAAGCACAGCACTTTCTCATTCACTTCACTCTGCTGAAGCTCTGCTGCTGAATTGGTCAACCACAGCTCTGGGTCTGAATATGGTTTTGCAACTCCAACATCAAGGATAATATTTTGATATTTATCCAAACATAGTATCTGCTGGCACTCAAGGTATTCTGAAAATATACAAAACACATCTCCAATCTCTACCCTACTCAGATATCATGCACTATTTTTCTGTAAATGTTTATTTTAGTCTTGGAGCAATCTGACCAAAGAAAAGACAAAACAAGTAAGAGTTTTCCCCAGGAGGATTATTTTGCTAATATTAGCCTCAGTACATAAACTTGCCAAAGAGCTTCAAATGTTAGTGGCACTTTTCACATGATTCTAATTATTTTTTTCAACATTTCCATAAAATCTTGTTTTCAGCTGTTTCTGATGCAGCCATGGATATTTTCTCTAGGCTGAAATTTTACTCTACCATATAAGTACTCAGTACATTTTACTCTACCATATAAGTACTCAGTACACTTATTGTAAATTATAAGAATTTATTTTTCCAAGTGGCATTTTGCAGGTTAAATGTCTTTCGGTATTTGAAAACAAACTAAAAGCAATTGAAAATTGTAGTTATTTATTCTATTCAGTGCCTTGAGACAAAATTCTGACAAAAAACCACTCTAATTTTTAAATAATTGGAGAATAAGGGTTTTTAGCAACAAAATATAGTGTCTGATTCAGCTGTTGGATCCTTGGCACACAGTGGGCCTGATTCTGGTCTCTAATACTACTTCATGCTGAGGTAAATTATTTGTCTTCAACCGGGATTTATAATGGCACATAATAAGTGACACTAGAATCAGGCTCAGCATCTCTGATGACTTGGGACTATTATTATTTCTTTCCAGGAAGACCTGTATGGAAAGTAAATAAAAATTCAGAGTTGGAACTTGTAGTGGA